ACCGAGTAAAGAGGTTATGGATATGGTCTTTATTCCACTCGTGCTTGTGATATTTTCACTCGTACTGATGGCATAAAGACCATATCAACTCGTAGCACAGGATAACCTCTATATACGCTCCGGATTCCAGTCTATGTTCTTTCCGTTTTGCTACATTGTTATCGCTTAATAGCAACCTAATTGTCGTAAACGTGAAGGTGTACAAGCGCACGTAAATATTGACATTTTAGTTTATGCCCTTCACTATCCCCTATCACAAGATAGAAATGATTTGTAACTGTCTTCGGTATGCAATGTACTATTTCTTTACGGACGTCAAGATAAATAGTATTTTAGTAGGTAGTAATACATTGTAACAACAGACCATGAATATTCATGCTCTAATATTTATAATATAACTGTCGCAAGTCCGGTATTCCCGGAGAATCGAGACAAGGAAAGTACTTTTTGAATACGTAATATATTCAAAATGTCTTTATAAGCGATGTAAAAATACTTCGACATATTATATTAAAAACTATCTTGTATAAGAATGAAGAAATCATTATATAGTACTTATTGAATACCGGTAGTTAATATATTCAAAATATAGCCTCTATGAAAGGGTTGCTGATTCAACATTATTATCCACATAGGCTGAAAAAAGGGGGATGGGGAGATTTGACTCTCTCTTTGTCTATGGGATACTGAATTGATGAATTCAGGAACCAGTAAAATATTTCTAGCTATGTGAAGTCTCTGATAAAGATGCCGAGTTATCAGTTTTCTGTAAAAAAGGAGTTAATAATAGTCCTGTTAAAATTTTGAAAGCCCCACCCCTAAAATCAAAAAAATGGGGGAAGGGGTAGAAATCCATTTCGTTTTATTTATATATACGTATTTATTGAACGATAAAGATAAATATAATATAGATAAAAATCTCGTGATTTATTGGTTTTGATTGACATCTTTATTGACCTACATAAAACCCTGATTTGACCCCTATTGACCTATTTAGGAATTATTGACATAACTGTGGACCTTAATGACATATATTCATTTATAAGCACAATAAGTGCTACAATGTGACGCAGAACTTGGATACTAGAAACTATTTGTATGATTCAGAGTTGATATGCATGGCTTGTTCGTCAGACCATAGGCAGATGATATTTTGCAAAGCTACCTGCTTTAAGTAACACGCAACAGTTTGGTATGTTTTAGTCACTATCTGATCTAGTCCCATTCTGACCACAGAATACTGTCATTGTATCAAGCAATCTACTAGCTAGTTAGACATGATAGTTTGGTATTCTGTAGTCTCATTCTGACTACAGAAAACTGCCATTGTACCAAACAATCTACTAGCTAGTTAGACACGATAGTGTGGTTTGCTCTAGTCCCATTATAACCACAGAAAACTGCCATTGTACCAAACAATCTACTAGCTAGTTAGACACGATAGTGTGGTTTGCTCTAGTCCCATTATAACCACAGGAAACTGTCATTGTACCAAACAATCTACTAGCTAGTTAGACACGATAGTTTGGTATGTTCTAGTCTCATTCTGACCACAGAAAACTGTCATTGTACCAAACAATCTACTAGCTAGTTAGACACGATAGTTTGGTATACTCTAGTCTCATTTTAACAACAGAAAACTGTCATTGTACCAAACAATCTACTAGCTAGTTAGACACGATAGTTTGGTATGTTCTAGTCTCATTATAACCACATTGTACCAATCAATCTGCTAGCTAATTGGATACGATAGTTTTTATACCCTAGTTCCATGGGACAACAACAAAACTATCATAAATTTAGCACAATATGCTAGCTAGTTGAACTGTGAGTAAGCAAACCTTACCCTACAACCAATAAACGTTCTTTTTGGGGGGCATTTAAAACGGAACATATGGAGCAGAACAACAAAGCTTCGATTTAAACTTGAGATGACCGAAAATACAAAAGAGGGCGATATGATCGAATGAGCCCGGGCAATAACCCATTGACGTAACACGAGACATTACAGTTATTCCGACTATAGATATTCAAATATTTCATTATTACCCGGGATTAGGGTGGATTAACGAGATTAGCGTATCAATTCATCGATAAATGTTCTGCCGTCATCGTAAATCACCTTAATCAGATTGATAACTGATATCGATGATTTAGAGTAAGGTGCGAATGCTGTTTATAGGGGGGAAGGGCCGCGTTTGGGGTCTGGCAAGTAGTGGCTGAGAAGGATAACTGGTATCGATGATTTAGGGTCATACAATCTGCTAGCTAGTTGGTCACTATAGTTTGGTATGTTCTAGTCCCATTCTGACCACGCAAACTGTCATTGTAGCAAACAATCTGCTAGCGCATCCTGTCTGTAGTGAGTGAGGTTCTATGCATGATATAGGCTTACTTTCGATTCAAAGTTCAAAGTATGGCCAAGTCGAGAGTAAAATTTGTATAGTATTGGACTCCATAAGAGAAGAACGATCAGGTGTTAGCATGGTCTGCTTCGCCTAGTTGTAACGAAGTTTTCCCAATCTCTTATGTGTTTCGGGACACTGATAGCATCGAGTTGCACTATTGGAATAGACTCCATTGAAAGCCACGAAACATCAAAAAAAGCTTGAGAACTTCCTATAATCCTCTTTAACATAATGCGTATTGACATTTTATGAAATTAACAGTTCATGTACATAAATGGGTTTTGAGCCCCGAGTGGTTCGTGCATTGCGTCAATTGTAGTCAACATAATTGAATTATCAAAAACCCTTAATATAAAAAATATCTCTTTATAGTTCGAAATTTAAAAACGTTTTTAAATACACTTTAACCATGTAGGAGTGTATATTGACAATACATGTAAAGATCTATATTCAATCAAATCGATATTCAATCAGATCAATAACAAGATCGATTGATTTGCTAATGGACATACTTCAGAACTCTTTACTTCAAATAATCCGTGAATCGATCGTATTCAGTTTTTAAAGACCTACTTTAAAATTGTAAAGAAAAAGGAAATGAATATGGGTAATTGGTGTTCGATATTTCAAAGGTTCGATTAGAATTGATTATTGATTGATTGAAATGGGTCACGTTTTATTCTACTGAAATATTTTTTATACTAGAATTGAGGTGACAGGAATATCAAATATAAACCACTTTTGAAATAGTTGTTGTCATATGACAATGTTAATGTATTAAAAATATAACAGCTTTGTTCAGCGAATCTAAAAAACAAGGAAATTTTTAGTACAAGGAAGGAACCTTCTGCACTTCAGTGTTACTTATGCTTTTTTTCGAGTGTGGTAAAAAAAAACAGCATAGTCTAAAATTGTTCCTGATTGTTCATTGCTTGTATTACTTTAGTTAATTAGGCCGTTATATTTGGGCCATCTAGAATCGCCTAGGGGAAACACCGGTAGCTCAACTTAATGAGAACGGGCTATTGGACTTAAATGGATTGGGGCCCCTCCTACAGGAAAATGCTCTCCTGCAATTGTTTCTGGGGTGGACTTGTTTCAACCCATCCCTATGTTAGTTGACTGTCCTACATACAAAAGTCAGGTGATATTTAGATAAAATGGCACAAAAACCAAAAATATCATTCACCATAATAGCCATCAAACTCCCAAACCAGTTGACATATCGAACCCTGGCCATCTTTTCAATAAGGTAGCGTTGTTTGATATGACACTTCAATATTAAGTAATAATAGGCTACATTCAGTTCTTGTTTCATTGTGTAAAATAGGGACCGGATTACCCCGTCCTTCTTATCACTGACAGAACACATCTAGAAACCCTTTATAGACCCTTCAATCATTAAACATTGGACAAATAATACAACCAGTCCTTACAATCATTTTATTTAGACAACATTGAGACCCTTCAACCTCGCCAGATGGGGTGAATCATGTCATATCTCCTTGTTACCAAAATAATCTAGTCCTGGGGGACTAATAGTCCCGAGTCTCCCCTTGTAACATTCGAGGATCCACAGCTATTATACATAATGAATACAACTGCCTCGAATGTCCAGTACGTTTGTCATAGTGTTTCTTTTATGATTTCGGTCCTGATGATTACGACTATTTTAATATGGTGGAGTGTCGTTAAGTATGACGTCATGGTGCTTAACGTGTCAATATTAGGTAGTATTTGCACGTGAAACAACATTTAACATGTAATGAACGTGCAAGAATAAATGATGACATCTTTGACCCAAGAATAACCTTAGAATTTCACAAAACCATTATAAAATAGCAGCTCCTATTTCTAGCATATAAAGGAATGCCACAATCAATTGAAAAGGGCAGCTCATACTTGACTATTTGGGAGATGTCCTTGTCACCGTTTTTATGTAAAAGGTAACATTGGCAGACCACCCTCTTGCTTACCCAATTTTCATTAACCCTGTAACCACGAAACGCTCTGATATCAGTTTAACAATCACGTAGCCTATAATCTGGTGTTTCGTTTCTAACATTTGCTAAATCATGCTTTAATTTTAGCCAAATTTGAGCAAGCTTCAAATCACGAAACACCCTTCTTCGCTCTTAATCATTTTCAGTTTTTATCCAGTTCAGAACATTCTGACATCAGGAAGAACTCTAAAATATTTGTTAATATTTGACCAAGAATATCACATGAGTTGAACATTTCTCAAATTTCATAATAATCTTTAATCTGGTCATCTCGAGACGTCTGGTCAGCACACGAAATGACCACGAGCATGATAGAATGTTGGTGGTCTCACATGTCAGAATGTCCAGACGGTTTTAACATTGAATGTCTATAGAAATAAAGACTGTGTAATCGAGAGTACTGTTTGTTTAATATTTATGTATATCAATAGTATAGTAATGGATTTTAAAGTAAATATTAAAACAATGATAGTAAGAAATTTATTTATTTTGTGAGAAATTAAAACCAACTATCCCTGGTCATTTCTGACACTTCTTGTCCGTGTTATGACTTCATTTTTCATATACTTGAAGGGGTGTAGGGTGTAACTCAATTGAGATGAGGGTGGGGTGTAGAATGATAATTTGGCTGAATTTTGAATTTCAAATACCGATTTCCTGATGTCTTTCGGTTCGGTTCGCCCAAGCCCTTAACCGTTAAAGTAGACCTAAAACATATTCAATACCCCCAAAATTAGACTTTAGTTTCGCCGCGTGGTTTTTGCATTTTTGGGGTAATCCCGATTGAAATGTGTGACATTTTTGGCTAATCTTTTTTCATTTCAAAAGTAGTGTTTTCACACTTTTTCTGCATCAGACTTGGATACTGAAGTGATCAAGGGACAGTCACATAATCTATTTTTGATTTTCAACTGTCAAGGAAGAGAGAGTGTGCTAAGGCTAATACCATTGGTCATTATCATTCAATATGTAATGCCCCAATCCTTTATTCAAAAACACTATACATAAAATATACAAGCTCTGGAACACACCTATCAACCCTGGTTGCCAAGAACATGTAGAATGTATTATTAAAGTTGAATAATGAAGTTCGATTAGCGATCAATAAAGACTGTAATTGAATATAAAAAGATAAAGTAAAAACAAATTAAACCTGATATATTTAGAAAGTAGTTTATAAACGGATTATTTAACATCTATTATAACAACACATTCTTTACATTTCAAACTCTCATCTCGTTACTAACGTTATTAGACGAGATTTCATGTTACGACGATTCCAATTTTTTTTCTGAAGAATATATATCGTTCAAAATATGCAATTTTCTTTCACAAGTTCAGTGGCTAAACTACCATAGGGACTGGTTAGGAACTGGACCCTTAATAGGCCCTCACCCCAACAGGAAAATAAAATCTAATTTCTTCACTTACAGGCTACAATTATAATCAAACTAAGTAATTAACATTAACTACAGACTGAAAATATTTAAATCTTCCAATAGCATAAACAAAATTGACTTACAGAGGGTCTCAGATTGCAGGAGAGCATGTTAACTATAAAATTCCCCGGGGGCCACTTAAGTTGAGCCACTGCACAGGTCAGCACCATCTTCCATGTGAATAAATAACAGGAATCAGTTTATTCTTGCGTACTGTCCTTGTAGAATCGAGGTTGCGATCCAACTTACTTCATTTGTTGCAATAGAGACTGTAATAATATCTCTACGACCTATAAAAAGAGTTATTAGACCCCAGGTACTATTTTAACTGTACCAGGGAGTCAGTCAGTATTGACTAATAAAACAGAATTTACAATTAACGATTGGATTAACTCGGGATTACTGAAGCATACAATTTAAGCAATATTACTGAAGTAAAAACTCAGATCCCAAGCGAGATCATCAGACTTCAAAAGAGGATATCTTTAATTATGCAATAAAAATATGATATTCCCTTAACTAGCATGGACAGAAAACTGTTTAAGAGTTTGGGAATTACTTCACAAAGATTTCAATAAATTTCAGATCAATAGAACCAAAAATATTTTATTTAATATCGTGCTTTGAAAAAATGCTTTGGTCTATTAACCCAAAGAAAGTAAATTACTGAAGCATAAAAAATTAGGCAATATTACTTACTGGGTTAATCTTTGAAACAAAAATTTGTTTTCAGAGAGAATATCTTTAATTATGCAACAAAAAACCAGAGAAGTATTCTCTTAACTCGCTTTTGGGAATTACTTCACATAGATGATATCACAGGACTTAAAATTTTATTATCTAATATCGTTCTTTGAAAATATACGCTGATCTATTAATGCAAGGACAGCGTATAGGAAGGCCCAGAGGTATTTTATATCATAAGAAGATGGAAAGTCAAAGCCAATTTTTCATGACTTGGGAATACGATGTACAACAATCTACAGGAATAAAATTTTATTATTTAATACCGCTCTTTGAAAAAAATTGCTTTGGTCTAATAACGCGAGGGCACTGGCAGTAGGTCTCACTCCTAAAGGAGATTAAAAGAATGGTTTGTCGAAGCCAAGTTTACATCAAATTCATTACCCAGAGACCTGGGAATACGAAACGATCTACAGGAATAAAATTTTATTATTTAATACCGCTCTTTGAAAAAATTGCTTTGGTCTATTAACGCGAGGGCACTGGCAGTAGGTCTCACTCCTAAAGGAGATTAAAAGAATGTTTTGTCGAAGTCAAGTTTCCATCAAATTCATTACCCAGAGACCTGAGAATACGATACGATCTACAGGAATAAAATTTTATTATTTAATATCGTTTTGTGAAAAATAAAGTTTTGGTTGTTATGGACACAAACACATAAAACAGAAATATCAGAGGTTTCAGTCAGTATTAGAGAGAAATGGAATTTTATGTGATAATTGTCTGGGTACAGCGAGGAGGTTACAGCAGATCATTTAAGCAAAATTTGGGAATAAATTCCCGAAATAGTCAGACGATATCTTTCATGCAGACCATTTCCACCTCAAAATACCGGACTATTTCTTCTCGTGACATTGATAAATAACGGTAATTACACCATGACGTCATGATTGACACGCAATGGAATCAGAATTCATGACGTCTCCTAGTTACAGTATCATTGCTCCAAGAGGTGTTGAAAACAAGTAGACCATTCTATCAATTTCAGGGTTCCTACCAGCCGTGAAATTCCTGGTAAATTGTCCGTCAAATCTCATTAAGAGTGTCTTGATTCTCGCTCATTAGTTCGTTTATAACACGTCATTCATTCATCACAAGAATATATACACGTGACTTCACGTCTGGTTTTAATTGACGTCATGATAACACCACGTCATCATTATCTCGATCATCAAGACGTTAAATAGTATAATATAATTAGTAAACTATTTATGACTGATATAAACAAGTCTAATGTAAATCTCGATATCACTTACATCTGGAATGTGTTTCTGTCAAAACGGACACCTGTCAAGAGACGACTAGCATGGAAGGGTCACGGCCACAAATGTCTCTAGTGGATCGTGATTCAGACAAGTTTTTTGTTTCACCCATATATAATTAATGAGACTTGAAGACTCAAGGCTCAAGACTATGGTGATTGAAGAAATAGTCGATGACAAATGAGGCATGTAATACAAGACTATTAATCATCCCAATCGTCTACTTCCGGTTATGATGTCGTCTGCCAGTGAGAAATATCGTCTGGGATATTCTAGAAATTTCGAATATGACGTGGAATATTAGAATTAAGACGTTTATCATCTGAGTTATTCTGACACACCATGGTTAGTCGATATGATAGAAAATGAAATGAATGGAGTTTTACGTCCTTCTTATTGCACCGACTTGAGGTAATGAAGATAGGACATGATAAACAAAATTTGACAGACCAACTATCGGAAATACCGACTATGCATCAGATGTTTCTGTCACATCACATCAGCTCAGTTAGTAGCGAGTTTGCTTGTCGTCTGCTGCTAGGTGCTGCCGTGAGTTTCTACTCGAGGTAAAAGGAGGTCAATGCCTCCAAGAGTCGGGACAGTATCGACTTTCAAACCCTTTAAAAAAAAAAACAACTACCCCAATGCCTTAAAAATGTTACAAAGTTGAAAGGTGGAAGAAATAGAAAGCCCCATTTCTGAATTGTTTTTACCTTGAGTAAACTCGAATAGACTAGAACTTACGGCACCAATATTACCAGAAACCTGACGGAAGAATGATATGGTCATCCTATAATTTATTGTGACTTATGACAAGTGGATATTGAAACATGATGGAGATATGTAGAATTGATATATTTATTATCGCAACTAGAATTCCTGACATTTCCACAGACAGACCACCTGCAGGTGGAACCGGAAGATGGACTGTAAACATAAGGCGCTGTGGCGTCTCTAGGAAGCCATTAGTTTAGGGGACCGATCAGGAGTCAAAAATATTTTCAGGGGGCGAGGACTATTCTTTCACTATGTAAATTGAAAAAAAAAATAGAAGTGCAACTGATAAGGCGCCTGTAATTTCGATATAATTTCGATTTCATTATTGTTTTTAATAGGTAGGTCATAGTTTGATCATCTGTTTCAATATAATGCTTCTTTAAGCGACCTCTGCAAATCTGAAATGAAATGGAGTCTTACGGCCTACATGCACCTCTTTTGCTAATGAGGAGGGACAACGCCATGCAATGTGCAATTTGGGAAATTTGTTTAGGATGATGCACGTCTGTGGGGCTCATATGACAAAGCGTCTAGTTGTCCGGACAATAAAATGAAGCCCATGTGTTACAAACTGGGCAGGACAGTTAGAAATTGAAAAAAAAGAAGCCTATGCTAAGACTGTCCTGAAAAATTACCTCATTGCATTATGTTGTTATTCTTTTACCCAGTAAGTAAAACGAATAACTCCATTTTTGAACATTTTATCAAAGTTATTTAAACCCAAGCCTTGTATTAATTTAGTTTATTGCATGAAATAATGTCAAAAATCGGATCAATCCTTTAAAACATGCCTTATCTCGTCAGGTACCCGGAAAATTTTCCGCTGATAATTCACTTATATCTTTAAAAAGGGCTTAACATCATCTACTAAATAGTCAAGATTATATGTAGAAACCCGTCTTATCTCTATAACTAAACGGAAATATTTTGAAGATTGCATCTAAAACACTTATAATGATCTATTTACTTTTTGCAATTCTAAGATATGAAACTATATCATTTGAACTTTCGGCATTTTGTTTTATTGTTCTAAACTTTAAACCTACTTGTAGATGACGCCAGGAAATACACAGAAAAATACATCATTCGAAAATATATTAATCTATAGGCAACAAATATTTAAGGAGTCATAAAGAGGTTTTCTTTTCTAAACTTTTTATGTGTTTTGGTGACAGCATTAATTTGCATCGTTTCAGTTTTCAATCGGACGTCTGTGGTTCTTGCAATTCCATTGAAAGAAAGCGTTTTATGGCGTCACTGTCGTAAAAGCTTCTATTGATATTGATATTATGCATGATTTTCTGATTGAAAATTGATAAGGTGTAAATTGATGCTATCATTTGCCTCTTATACACATATTTCTTTTAGAAAACCTCTTTACAATCCTGTAATCATCGATTAAAATATAGATATGGCTGTACTGTTTCGTGTTTTATCTCTTAGTTTCTTAACTATCCATCCTTCATCTGACGTAATTCTCCTTTAAATCGTGTTCAAGCATTCAATAATTTTTTAATGTTCTAATAAGATTATTCTTTATGCATTGTATCGGAAATAGCCATGTTCGAACTTTTGATGTTCTGTGTAATTTATTGACGACATTTAGAAGTTTATGTTCGGAAATTTATGACTCGTACATGAAAACGATTTTAATTGTAGGAACTGTATGCAAGCTGGAATTACTTTCCTTATCCAATTAAACCAGAAATGTTTTCTCTGTAAAATCGATGTAATACTTATAGAAATTGAAAATGAATTGAGGTTTTTCAGGCAGTAATTTCATTGTATCTAATCTTTAATCAGACTTGACTATTTTCAGAATGTCATTTTATATCGAGGTTATTCTGATCTCAAACAGAAATTATTTGTGACGTCTGAGATGGCAGAAAATGTTCGCAGAGCGTTTCCAAACATAGCACATGACATGATAATTATGAAATAAACATAGTAAAATCATAATGGCGATTTTCCCTCGAGATCATCTTCCTGCTTGACACTTCATCTCGTCTGTTGTATTCACCTTTAATTATAGAGAGCATTATTCACGTGCTGGCGTTACGTCATGACGTCATTGTTACGACATTGTTTACTGTATGACGTCGTATTGTTCTATTTAACACGAGCTGTTTCATGTCCCCGAGGACCGAAATCTGGCTTGGGAGTTTATTTAGGGTAAGATTATGAGATATATTTGAAAAAGATGCGATGTCAGGTCCGAACAATTCTTAGACGAACGACAGGATCAGAAATCACGCCCTGGTCGTGACCTATTACGTCACTGACAATGGCAGTGTTGTTTTGACCCATGACCTGTTCGTGTTAAAGGTCAACTGGGTTCTAACAGGTGCCGTTTTGAAGGAAACAAGGGCTGGTTTGTGTCGGGGTTGAAACAGACAGTGAATTGTATCTGGATAGTTTCATGGTTCATTAACTAGTAGGACATCTCTGTAATCCATCAGCGGGGCTTTCTGACATAATCTCGATTATTTAGGCCATTTCAATCGCTTAATAGAGAACTGAATGTTCGAGACAATTTCTGACACCATTTTACACAGACCTGACATTAGTAAATTATCGACATTAATGAGATGTATCTGCTCCATTAAAATTAGACCTCATTAAATTTTGACACCCATTGAAAATGTTACCGATGAAAGGTTTTGGAATGTGGAGGAATTCTTCAGGAATATTTTAAGGAGAGATTTAAATGCTTTATGAATGAATGAAATGATGAGAATTATGATAATTTCCAACTTCTCTGCCCAGTCATTCCAAATAGAGCATGCGAAATGATGGGTGTCATTAGGTGAAAGCTGTTGTAAAAACAATATATAATTGAGAGGAACATGGTGCAGAAAAGTAGGACGTAAAACTCCATTCATTTCATTTCATTTCATTTATAATTGAGATGAGACAAATCAGCAACACCAATTACTGTTATTTGCAAAAAAAGTGGCGAAAAAAAAAATGACGAGAAGAGCAATGGAAATGAATTAATGGAGTAAAACGCTCTACTATTCCTCTCTTGAAACTGTTCATCAGTATTGGTATTCTCGTCTTAGATATCCGGGGCCTTATTCCTGAAAACTTAACTTTAGATGATTGTAGTGTTCCAGTCATCTGATTGGTCAATCACTAAAATCGATTTTAAATTAAGTTTTATTATCCAATCAGATTAGTTATAGAAGATACTCTCCTATAGAAGCACTGGCCTAGGTCACAAGTAGAGACTATGGATTTCAACATGAAAACTATATCAATTCAAACAGAATATGTTTTAATGAAGATTATTCATAGATTATTACTTCTGGAAAGATTACAAGACAATTAGTGAATTTCTTAAAATCTGGATTTCATTCAAGTTCAGTTTTGGAGAATAAGGTTACTGATTGCCATATAGTGCACAATCAGGGGAATTTTGACAGGACAGCAGTATTGGCTAACTCGTATTAAGTTTGCAAAGGTGGAGAATCATTTCATAAGATGTTTAAGCATATGTCTGAAAAGCATTGTAAAGATGTTTTCTAAAATAAATTATGTGTATCGGGGACACTGATATAGTGATACACTTTGCACACTTCCCATTTTCAGTCAGACGTCTGTGTCTCCTGCAATTGTACAAAAATAAGTGCTTGATAAAGTCACTAATCGCAAAACATATTTGTATCACATAACCCCTCAACGATTAGTGACGTTATCACATCTTTTCAATCCCTTAAACAACAAAATCTTTCCTTTGTCAATCATATCGTCCTTTTGGTACCACAAAATACAAAAGCACAGCACTTTTCCTGATAATAATCTATTGATAAGGGCTAAGGGTCGGTTTCAACAACATTAAGAATCAACTGTGTGATATACTACCCTTTATCGCAATAATCAGAGAAACAAATTTCATCACCCCACTTCAGGACCACCAGTTCTTAAAACCTGTTGGGATTATCGCAGTCCGTTATCTGAGAAATTTTTACTACCAACAACGAATGAGATTTTTCTTTGTAGTTTCTAACGATTATCAATATTTTCAAAATGGCGCCCAGCATGGTAGCGCCACCTAGCGATGCATTTAGCTCCGGGCTTGTGTTATTTCATCACCATAAAGTCACACTTCCAAGTGTTACAACACGCACGTACTTAGTATCAACTTCAAATGATTTCAGAGTGGGGAGGGGGTCAAAAACAAAAGGGATTAGATATGTGATAGCCCCGAGGGTCTGAAGAAAGAGATTTAAAAGCTTACACCCCTTGAAAGCTGGTGGGGGTTACAAGCTAAACTAAAAGGGTTTACAGAAAATCACAGTAGGGAATTTACCTAAATACTCAATCAAACACTTCCAGGGGATTATTTCTCAAAACACCTTGTACAACACGGAAACATTTTAAAGTATAGTTTACGTCAAAACGTGACGTTGTGGTTACGTCATAAATCGTGACGTGATGTTTTCGTCATGACACGAGAATGAAAGGAAGTTTCACGTCCTACTGTTCATGTCAATACTTAAAGTGATTCGAACCTATATATTATGGTGCTTAATATGACCACCAGTGTGAAACAAGTAACGAGTTGTTGTAGGTAAATGCCCATTATGATACAAAGTGAGAGATTATGACGGGGAAAGTGGGCGTTAATTGTAGTTTTTATTGTCTGCCCTGATGTTTTATACTGCGCCACCTACCGGTAGTAGCAGTTAACGATTATTAGAGGTGATGAAAAGAGTATCATCAGCCGACTGTGTAACGACAAAGTTTCTCTTGTTTCAAAGTTTTATGGTCGTCATTATAAACTGTTTATCGGTTGGTCTAGATTGCTTATCGGTTGGTTTAGTCATAAATAAGCGTCTTTAGCGTTGGTTATTTATGACTGACTGCAGCATAGAAGTATGTTATACAGATTGACATGTACCTTGTAGAGGTGTCAGGAAAATAGGCAAGATTGGTTAAAGACGAATGAATATCAGTCTCTCGGATCATTTTAGACCTTTGTAAAAATATCCGACCCCAACCACAGAAGT